GACCCCTTGTGCCCCAGCTCGATCCATTAAGCCGTAGGCTAATACTAGTGACATCATGGAAGATATGACGACTCGCGGCTCGAAAGTGCAAGACGTCTCCGGCATGCTTCCACCGCAACAAACGCCTCGTTCGCACCCTTCCTGCAGCTAGCCGAAATAGCGTTGGTGCTAACTGGCGCGCTCTTCTTTTACTTGAAAGGAGTAAAGCCTAACTCCAAATAGCTGAATGGATTCCTTCCTCTTGCTTCGCTATTTTGGTTTCATTTGTCAAATTAGTGAATGTAGGTGACTTCTTTCGACTGGCGTCACTTCAAAGGATCCAATCCTCAGAAAGCCTTCCCGTTATCATTCAAGGTTGAGAGGCAGAAATATCTACTCACTACTGAAATGCGTTTTGAATGCTGACTTTTAGGTATACACACAACTTCCTTCGAGCAGTTATGAACACACTCAGGGTTAGCACTTCATGGAACTCGCCCGAACACTCCCTCTCCCACATCGCGTCTCCAGGATGCTTATGGAGAGGAGACCTAACTTTCAGTGTTTTCGATGTTTTTCTTCTCCACAGTTAGTTTACGATACAACATAACTTCATATTTGGGTGCAAATCAATATAATCGTGACATGAGCTTTCAAATGAGCCGCGCGTGCTTTGAATGCCGATTTTGTCAGAAACTCTATAAGTTCCGACTAAAGAAAGAAAATTTCAACTTACAACAAGAACTCACATCATTCATGTAGTCATACAAGTCAGCTATGACCCTCTTGTTGTATAACCTTGTGCTATTTCGTCGCTCATCTTCAGGAACAACGATCTGAAAGTCGCATTGTAAAACGTCTACCATTTTTGAGAAAAAACCCCTTAAGGAATTGTCAGTAAGCTTATAGGATCGTTCTAAATTGTAACAAGCAATCTTCACAACAAAAGCGCTTTCTTCAAAAATCGATAGTTCCACCGTAACATACCGTATTGGCTTCAAAATTCTGTTCATCCATTGGCTTTCGACTGAATCAAATGCAAAAGTAAAAGTATTTTCAATTATATTGACTGATATCACCACAGCGATCCTATCACCTTCTGTTTTCACTCATTACCAGAATCAATCCCTTTTTTGGGAGGCGCCGCACGTTTTACAGGGTGCACCAAAATTACTTGTTCAAAGTGGCAGCGTTAATTCCTTTGGTTTTCGGAGGGACTGAGCAATGAGCTGTTGATCAACCTTTTAGCTACCACGTCATCTTTAGGTACTTGGAATCCCACTTCTCAACGATAGCGTGCTTGGGTGAATTTC